AGTTAAAAAAACCCATATCTTTCTTGATTATATATTTATTAAATATACATTATACAAATAGATGGTTTTTTACTTCTCTTTTTTTGAATCACATTTAATTTGTGAATAAAATCAACATTTAGTGCCTATTATCAATCATTTTCTTTTTAATCAATCATCTTTGATCATCTTTCGTGGACAGAATTGCAAATCACTAAACAAACAAAATGGTTTAATCTGTTGTCTGTTTTGTTTGTTTTGATATCCGTCCATTCGGGAGTTCTATATTCCAGACAATTTGGCGAACCAACAAAAATTGCGAAGAATTGTTTGAAACTGAATGAAAAGTCTGCTGATTATCTCTGGGGGCTCTGTCACCTTCCTTAAAGGAACTCTACACACATGAGTTAACCATCTCCTTTTTAATACAGTATTAAAAATAAATCATTAAATATAAAAGGTAAAAAAGATACTTAACTCAAATGGTCCAATTTGATGCAAATCTGCAGCTGTTCAAGAGTTAAGGATGTTTCTGTGGTTTCTCAGTCTATCCTGGTTCTCGCATTGTTTTTGTTGGGAGTGCTCTGCATATACAATAAGCCTTTGCCTAACATGAATAGACACAAATGGAACTACTTGACATGTTAATACTAATCACAGTTCTTGTTTTGCAGGCTCCTAACAAGAACAGCCTTCCACCTCTCCTAGGGATAAGCAAACACATATATAGACACACACATTCAGACATACAAATGCACACAAGCACATATATCATCACATACACCAGCACAGGAACATTTTCTGTAAGCTGTCCTTGTTTATAACATAATTTTCTAATGAAGAAGAATTTGTTTCTAAATGCTATTTAGTCCGCTTCCTAATATGCAGCTGCCATTTTGTTTCTACACCTGATGCAATGGTAGTCACACAAACTGAGCTACAACTATTAAAGGAACAATTCAAAGCGCTACGGAATCTGTTGGCGCTATATAAATGGCAATAATAATAATAATAATAATTCAGGCACCATAACTTTATCATGTCCATGAAATTGTTATGGTGCTAGGGGGCGCTATTTTACCATAACAGGTTCAACTGTTCATGAACAATTTAACCCCAAACATGTGGGTCATCCTCCTGGTTTCTGAAGAGAGTACATATCTAATATAGGTTTGTCTACAGGGAGCAGTCAGCTAACAATATCAGCCTATCAGCAGTGCCCAGTCCGAGGCTTCCTCGAGAAGCTTCTGATACTGCTAGAAGCCAGGAGGATGAGTTGATGGGAGCCCTATCCACATTGGGGTCAAACTATTCGTAAATGGTTTAACCCCTTAAGGCATAACAGTGCCTAGGACCTCCGGGCATAATAACAACTTCACATGAAGTTGTTATGGTACCCGGCTTGTTCCTTTAATTTATTGTCTCTACTTGGACATGCTTGCAAAAATGATAGAGAAAGAAAGATACAATGCCTATCTAGTCATTCACACTTAATTAAAGTTATTGTGGGGGGTGGGGTGGGGTAATTGTGACAGCTGCAAATAGTGGCTGCTGACTAGAACTGCATCTCCCCTTGAAGTACCTAGGTTACTTGACACCTGGATTGGAAATGTAACCCCCTCCTCCCAAATTGTAGCATTTTTTTTTCTGTCACACTGCACTGCCCCCAACACTCCTTTGTTAGGGTAATTACTCACGTGCACACTCACATTGATACACACAAATACACAAACATTCATACATACACTCACATTCATATACACATACATTCATACACTCACACACACTTTTACTTTGAAAATTACCCCAGAGGTAATGGTTTTTTTTTTTTTCTGCTAGGATAAAAAACTTGCAGTTTTGTACTGATGTCACATTCCAGCTCCTAGCATCAGCAGAGGTCAGCAAGGGACTTGGGCAGTTTGTGTATAGAGTTATCCAAGCAGCTCCCTTGCCGTCTGCTCTACAGTCTGCTCAATTAAATTAGATGAGCAGGTACTTGTCATGAGGCATCACTGATAGGCAGGTGACTGTTCCGGCAAGGGGGTGCTCTGTGTACCACCTGGTGCCTGTCACACAGGATGGACAAACTCCAACGACCCCCAGTTAGCACACCACTGCTCCAATTAACTTCAGAAAGGCCTAGTGCATTCACTGTGCTGTCAGTCACACAATGCATTTAATTACATAATGTAATGTCACAAACACCTCAGTACAGGATTTGAAACTTGATACAGATAGATAGACAGACAGATACACTGATGGTCGGACGGGCAGACAGAAAGGCAGGCAGACAGACAGAAAGACATAGGATCACTAAAGTTGCTTTGATCAAAGCAATAGTTCTCAAAATGCAGATGAAATTATTTCATGGAAAAACATTACAATAAATACATAAAGTAAAAATGCAATTTTCCTTTAATGCACATTTACCAGTGCTATTTGTGTTTTTTTTTTTATTTGCAGAGATTTAATATTTTCTAATCAAATGCATAATTTTAAACAAAACTATATATTTTGCACAGGTATCATAAAGAGCAGTTTAATTTACGACTTTTTTCTGACCTGTCATGACCAATTATCATAGTGTGTTCACAATGTGGTTTGTTTCAATTTTTTGAATGTTTAATGTTCTATATATTTCGTATGGCTGAAATCTATCCACAGAATGAAACATTGATGACAATACAAAGAAATTGTCCTGTTACAGAAAGATAATTACTCTTGAAAAACTTCATTACAGTTGTATATATAACCTAATCAAGGATCTTGACTGACAAAAAACAAAACAAAAGGTGTATATTTTATTTAATCCTAGTCTAATTTTCTAACTAAACCTCTTGACTTCCAAAAAAATTAAAAAAGATTGTGTGAGATACACATAGAGGTCCATTTACGTTTGAATTTGTAAAATCAGATTTTGGGAAACCATTTGAGCTAATTCAACCAAAATACTTCATGAACGTTACCATTCTGTGTATTTAATAAGTCAAATTTTGAACGAATCATAATTTGCCCTGACCTAGAGCCATTAGGAATTAATCCAAAAATTTTATGTAATGACCAAGAGTTGACTTCTTGGTTATATCCTGAATTGCAGTCCAAATAATTTGGAGACCATTGGTCAAATTGGTAAATTTAAAAAAAAATTGAATAAAAATGAATTTAAAATGGCAATAATGATTGAATGAACTCCGCAACCATCAAAGTTGCACAAGCAATGGCAGGAGGGAACATTTTTATTTTGCCAAATCCATATTGTTAAATGTCTACGTATACTCAGCCTTTGCTTTCTGAAGGAAAAAAAAAAAGTGAAAAAAATAAAAAATAAAGTAAGGAAGAAAACATTATTAACCCCTGACAGAAGAAAAAGTCAATAATGGAATTTAGCCCTTACACTCAGATATTTATGTAAAATGAACACAGCTCCATGTATATATATATATATATTGTTGTTTGTTTCTCCTGAAGAAAGCCCAGGACGTGGGCTGAAACGTCGAGATTTTATGGAATAACTGAATAAAGATGATTTTTTTTAACTACAAGACCGTGAGTGCTAGCCTATATTTTAAATATTTATTTATAAATATATATATTGGTCTGTTAATGTTTTCCAGTGCAATAGATGTAATTAAAGGAAATCATTGGGATAAATGGTATTAATTCTGTTTTTTAATAACAAAAAAGAATACAAAATAAAGTGTCAGAATATGTCTGTGGGTGGCCCTATTTCAGGTGATTGAGACATTTTCAATTCCTATAGATTTGGAATTCAAATGTTTTAGGCAAATTTTGAGCAGATACCTCTTGGATAAATGTTCAGAGGCAAAATTGCACATTTTATATTTATCTCTAACGTGTGCATTAGTAAATTTTTGGAACCAATCAGGGATTTTAGAGGCCCAATCAGAATTGTATATCTTATCACTCATCCAGTTGAGATAAGGACTAGAGAAGACTGGGCTCACACATATTACACATATCTCAGGAACCCCACATGATTGGTTAGAAAAAAATACAACACCTTTCCTTAAACTCTCATTTGTAACAGTCATGTCCTTTAGCTATTTATAAGAAAACAATTAGAAAACTATAATGCAACTGCAGAAAAGAACCATGATTACTGGTTTTGTTTACCATATATTTAAGATTACCAGTGCAATAAAGACTCCACAATTTAATAATGGGAAAAAAAGCTAAATTCTATGCCCTTTAAACTCAATGATGTTCTTTATATGCCACCTGGTAGATTGTTATGCAAAATATCTGAAATGTTAATATGTAATGTATGTAATGTTTTAATAGACTAAATTAAACAATATGTTCTTCTTCAGGTGGGAAAAATAAATAAATGTTTATTTTAGTTCATCTTAGCCATTAACAAGTCTAATCAAAGTTAGTACATTTAAGTACGTGTGTATTTTAAATAACATTAAGCTACTCTGACTAATTTGTAGGAGATCTACTTAGATAAAATCTTAGGCCACCTTAGCTTTGCCACCTATTTGCTTAACTGAATTTAATTCATGCAAGTCAATGATCCCTTGTTTGCTCCCATTAATAAATTCATTAGAAGGAAGTTAGTCTCCTGGGGAGAGCAAACGGGCTTCATTCAACTGGTTACAATAGAATAATTTCACATTTACTCCAGAAAATGATAAACAAACCAATCCTCTCCAGCTGTTTAAATCCTGTCTTATTCTCTCTATACAAACCTCATGATTTTGTTGTAAAATAAGGAATGTACACACAGGACAAGAGCTTCCAGTTTCACATAAACTGTGTACCGTAGGATAATTGCTGCCAGAAAATTGGTACTCTTGTTTCACACCTTGTTAGCACTGCAATTAGCTTTCTTTACATTTACTGATTGCTGTTTTGCATACTTGACTTAATTCTATCTTGTTTCAGAGCTTAAAGGGCAGCTTCCTTCCAGCCTAGTTATAAATAATGCAGTTCAGCAGAGTGTGGGCCATTCAAACAGTTTAAGCTGGCAAGAGTTTCATCTTGAAGAAACTGTCCACATGAAGATGTTGACTTTGGTGTTCCTGATTATATTGGTGCAAGGATCCACTTCCAGACCAGCTACCAGTATGGAGGAAAATGCTATTTCACTAGAGGATCCAGAGAAAGTCAGATCTGTGGCCATAAAGAGACTTTTGGAAGTTTTTGGCATTGATGAGCCGCCACATTCTCTGCACAATGTGAAGCAACCCCCTCAGTATATGGTTGACCTATACAACACTGTAGCTGATGAAGATGGAGTTACCAAGGATCCAGATCTTCTGGAGGGGAACACAGTCAGGAGTATTTTTGATAAAAGTGAGTAACAATACTTGACAAATCAGAAATCAGTTATTATCTAGTTTGTTTTTTGTTTTTTTGTTTTTTTTTATTAGAATTAAATATAAAACGTTATAAATCCTATGAAATAAATTTTCCTTTTTGACAAATGTTTTTTTTTGGAAGTCATATTTACATTTTTAAACTATTAGATTTCTGTAGAATTTATTTGTGTCTCTAGATTTGTCACGAATTTCATGTAAAGTTGAGGGATGGGTTTCAAGTACCATTCTATGCAAAATAACCTTATTTTTTTATGGAATGGAGGTGGCTTGAAATAGTCTGTTATAATATTGATGTAGCATTTAGTTAGAGAAACATCTTTTCCGCATCCGATGATCAAATTTGTGTTATATTTTAAATACTTTGTAATCATTCGTTGGAGGTTCTGTATTTTTTTTTTAATATATATATATATTATTGATTTTATTGACTTTTTATTGTTTAAATTATTTCTAATTCTGAAATTACTTTTCAGTTCACAGTGACCAGATGTACTTCCTGTTCAACCTCTCAACTGTGAGCAAAAGTGAAAAAATTCTCACAGCAGAACTGCATCTTTTTAAGCTGAAGCCAAGACCATCAGAGCTTGCTTATTTTAAAAGGCATCATTTCTGCCAGGTAAGAATTGCTTATTTAATAAGGAAAAATTAAAAACCCAAATAGAATTGCTAGAAACAGAATATGTAAAAATATCCCACAAAAAGTTTGTAAATATGTTGTAAGAATTAAAATATGTAGAGACCACACTTACTAATATTCTAAACATAATTATACCTGTACCTACGTTGAAACTGTTTCATAAGAAAGTACTGCATGGTCCAAAAGGTTATGAAACATTAGAGGAGAACCCTTACAAAAATATGTTTTCCATAGAGGATGGACATCATTTATTAATATTATTAATATTTTGTATGAGCTACTGTGGTATAGCTTTAACAGTATGCGATATTTCACTAAATAGTTTTTTTATAATACATAATTTTGGCCTCAAATTAATATTTTTGGATACATTTTTCAAATTATTTAATATTTTTGGATACATTTTTGAAATAGTTAAATATTTTGTAAAAAATATTTTAAAATTTTTTTGTTGAAAGATTTTTTTTAACATTATATATTTTTGATACTCAAATATTTTGAAAAAAAGTTTATAACAAAAATGAAATATTTCTAAAATATTTGGGAATTCAAAGTGAAATTCAAATTTTAGACCAAAATAGCCGACCTGGAAAAAATCAGCTATGTTTTTAGGTTTGCTTTTACCGAATTTGAAATTCACAGTGACGCAACAACAATTCATACTTTAGTCAGCAACTCCTTGTGTATTATATAAAATGGATGTCTGATTAATAATTAAATATTCTAGCTGTAATAATTGGTATTTTCATATTATATTAATTCTCTCCCTGGCAGGTAAATGTTTACTTAATATTAGATAAACAGAAAATGCAGTTGCCACAAGGAAGAAAACTTCTCTCCTCCAAACTTGTTCCTATCCATTCTTCAGGCTGGGAGGTTCTTACAATCACCCAAGCTGTAAGTATTACAATGTATTAGTAAGGATAATTTGCATTAAGTATAAAGAGCCACTGTGTTTTTGTCTGTCTTTACATCTTTGTAGAATACAAAATGTAAACTTGTTAAAGGAAATATAATTATTTCCTCCACTATACCTCCAGATCATGTTATTAGCATTTAACAAAGTTAACAGCACTATATACAAACATACATTTATATATCTACTTCTGCTAAAATGTTCTAAAGATCCATAGTTGGGTATTTTTTTTTTTTTTCTAATTTAATCATTAGGGTTGATTATCGTTACAAATACACGCCTCAAATTAATATTTTTTGGATAAGCTTTTTAAATTATTTATATATTTTTTCCCCAAATATAAAAATATCAAAAATATATCATTTATAAAAATGATATATTAATATGTAAAAAAAAATTATATAGAAAAATGAAACTATTGAAATATTTTTCAAAATATGAAATAATTTCAAAAGATTATCCAAAAATATTAAACTGGGACCTGAAACCGTTAATATTTGCAATACTGTATTATATGTGCATAATATGTGTATATATTTGCCTAGGTTCGGGCTTGGAATGATGAAGCAAACAATAAAGGTCTCCTAGTAATTGTCCGCAATATTGGAATGCAAAAATTAGACACAAACATAATCCGCTTTGCATCCGGAAAAGACCACCATGAAAGCAAACAGCCAATGCTTGTACTATTTACCGATGATGGAAGAAGAGGTTTTGCCTCTTTGGGCAAACCACAAGGTATTATTTGTATTTATTTTTATTCATTAACTTAGCTCATTAGATTTTTCTTTCAAGGTATATAATGTAATTTTTATTTGATCTATTAACGGTTCTGTAATTCATGATTCTGTGTCCCAGCAGCCCTGGAAAAAAAATCAGTGCCGGCCCCATAAGTCATTGTCACATGTAATATATAAGGCTATGTCTTGCCACCCCAGATGATTGTGATATATAAACACATAAAATATATATATATATATATATATATATATTATGACACACACAATATATATATATATATATATATATATATATATATATAAATATAAATAAAAAATGAAAAATGTTTCTATATTACTCAATCATCTGGGGTGGCAAGACATAGCCTTACATATTATTGGTTAATATATTTTTATATATATATATATATATATATGAATGAAACCAAGAGCGCTGCACTCAAATGAACATGCACACATTATAAGGTGTTGCTGAGGCCAATATATACAACATACAAAGTACACAATCCAGCGCACTCACTTATTCACTAAACAATGATTTCAAATCTCGCAGATTGTAATAGTTTTATTTTAAAAAAAAACTCAATGGGGGTTTAGTTACATTATATGATCATATATTGCATAAGCCTGCCACAAGGTCAATGTAGCCCATTCTTGAAAGGTCCTACTCTAGCAGCCTATAAGGGCAGTCAATAAGCTGCTAGAGAAGGACCTGCCAAGAATGGGGTACATTGACGTTGTGGCAGGCTTATGCAATACATGATCATATAATGTAACTAAACCCCCATTGAGTTTTTTTTTAAATAAAACTATTACAATCTGCGAGATTTGAAATCATTGTTTAGTGAATAAGCGAATGCGCTGGATTGTGTATTTTGTATGTTATATATATTTATATATATATATATATATTTGTTTTTCTAATATAAAATATTGGTCCTTTCAGAGTAAAACATTTACTTATACAGTAAGCATATTCCACATGCAGATACTGACACACACAAGCTCATTGATACACAGTTTCATAAACAAACAATCTCACCGATATACATAAGCTCATTGAAATAAAAACACAAGCTCACAGATGAACACAAATAGGCTCACTGACAGACAATCTCACTGACATGCACAGACAAGCTTATTGGTATACACACACAAATGTAGTACAGACAAACTCTGACACACACAGGCTTACTATAGACAAGCTCACTGTTACACACACACACACACATGCTCACTACAGACAAGCTCACACACATGCTCACTACGGAAACGCTCACTGATAAACACATTTCTACAGACAAGATCACTGACACACACAAGTTCACTCACAGCGGACACACACAAGCTCACTCACTAGCAGGCACATACACACACACAAGAGCTCACTCACTAATAGGCACACACACACACAAGTTCACTCACAGCAGGCACACACACACAAGCTCACTCACTAGCAGGCACATACACACACACAAGAGCTCACTCACTAATAGGCACACACACACACACACACACACACACAAGGTCACTCACTAACAGGCACACACACACAAACACACACACAAGCTCACTCACTAGCAGGCACACACAAGTTCACTCACTAGCAGGCACACACACACACACACACACAAGCTTACTCACTAGCAGGAACACACACACACAAGCTCACTCACTAGCAGGCACACACACAGGCTCACTCATTAGCAGGCACACACACACACACAAGCTCAATCACTAGTAGGCACACACACACACAAGCTCACTCACTAGCAGGCACACACACACACATAAGCTCACTCACTAGCAGGGACACACACACACAAACACACGTTCACTCACTAGCAGGACACACACACAATCACTGTCATGGCTGAAGCTTACCTGGCACTGTCAGATGAAGTCGCCATTTTGTGGCGTCTTCCTTCCAGCAAGGTCAGCAATGTACGTGGGGGCAGATTTTGTGTGCGGAAGGTGTGACTTATGTTCGCGAGGCAGGGCTTGCATGCAGAGGCAGGGCATTTGGAATTTATGTAAATTTGGAAGGCAGACTGACAGATCTCCCTCCGGCCGCACCAGCCCCCAGCTCTTTATTCCCCTCGGACTGAAACAGGCTGGCACAGTCCAAGGGGAAAATACTTAAATGACATTAGCCTGATAATTAGAGCTGCCTGTGAAATTTCCCGCTATATCGGTGGCCCAGTCCGGCCCTGCAAATTAGCATCAGAAAGATAGTAAGATTTGAAATATCAAAGCACCTATAAATTGTTTGTTATGTTGAACTGTAGCGCAATAAATAGAGGAGGTATTTATTTATTATTTTGTAGACTCCCGACTTCCATGCATATGTATCAAACTTTTCCTTAAAAAAAAAAAAAAAGCTCAATTTGGAATGTACATGTAAAAAAACTTTTACAGATATATTTTACATTAGACAATCGCTTACCCATTGATCACACTATAAGTCTTATGTAATTTTATATCCATATTTTCTTTTATTAATTAGTTAACCTACTAGTAGTTTATCTGTAAAAGTACATAGTACTCTAGCCCACATTTACTTCATTTATAGATATTTGGATCATATTACTTTTGGATTTTTTGCAGGAAGGGCTGAGTATGCATAACCCACTTATTTGAAGACAAAGTACATGGTTGCATTATTGACAATCTACTGTACGAGTATGGGGAAGCTTCTAACACACAAGTGTATATAAGAGACCTAAAACAAGATTTAGAACGGTGTTTACTGAAATATGAAAATACCTTCTAAAAACCTCTATTATTATATTATTAACGTTCCATATAATAGATATGTTATTTAGTATCATAAACTGTTTTACACAAGTAAATTGATTTTATAGTTCAATAAATGCTTTCTCTTTTGAATGTTCCCATAAATCTATTTATCTGTCCTTTCCAGTTGATGATGATGTAATGGCAATACCCAATGAGCCTAATATACCGCTCAACAGAACACGGATTGGTAGATCGTTATCAGAAGATGGGCATTTGCCATGCCAAAGGCATCCACTGTATGTAGACTTTGAAGAAATTGGCTGGTCTGGGTGGATTATATCCCCGAGAGGTTACAATGCTTACCACTGCAAGGGGTCTTGCCCATTTCCTCTGGGTCAGAACATGAAGCCCACCAATCATGCTACAGTACAGTCTATTATTAATGCACTCAGACTAACAAAAGGGGTCAGTAGCCCATGTTGTGTGCCCGACAAACTTTTCTCCATAAACCTATTGTATTTTGATGATGAAGAAAACGTTGTACTGAAACAATATGATGACATGGTTGCTGGCAGTTGTGGATGCCATTGATGAATTTTATGGAGACAAGACTGCTTAATAGTACTGTATGTACAAGCTCAGACAGAGCTATCTGCTGGTGTGCAGAGATATGTTGGACTTTTCGTGGGGACATCCAGTACTTTGTAGATAGCTAAAACCCAACTGATGTCACACAATTTAATTCGCAAGCCGCAGATTTGAAGTTCCGAAAGTTGGTATTAAACGATAGATGTTCTTAAATTATATTGTACAGATTGTTTTTCAAATAAGGATGTTCATGTTTCATATATATATAGAACATCACTGATATTTATTTGTATAATTAATTGCCACTGTGTGGCCAATGTGATGCTGAAAGAATAAAAATTTTATTGTATTTTTTTTTATTGTTCCAAATTTTTTTTTGCCAGGAATGCACAGATAAATTCACTGCCTTGTTACTGAAATATAACACAAACAAAAACCCACAATAAATACATAGAAGTAACAATTTTTAAAGAAAATGTAAAATCATTTATTAAGGATGAACTGGATCTTTATATTGTCACCACTAATAGAAAGAAAAAAAAGTTTTATACATTTTAAGATACTAAAAACAGAATGGTAAATTAGCAAGACTTTTTAAATGTAAATTAACCTCTATTATTGCATATCTAACTGTGTTAACAGTGAACATCCAAAAGGGTAATATGCATATAAAATGTTTACTTACTTCACATATAATATCAACTATGTTTGTATCATATGTACATAACTAGATTGTTAATATATATATTTTGATACACTTGTAAACCTGTAAATGTATCACAATTTTAATAAAAACCTTCATATATTTAAAAATAAAAGTAAAAGAACATATTGTTGATCGAACTGTGGCCTTAATTACATAAAAGCAGAAATCAGCTATGCATTTCAAAGACGAAAAATATTATAAGCTAGATGTATTAGCCTCAGAAACAGCAAATATTCTTCAAGTTTGGCTAATTAGTCAATACGTTTACTATTTGAGTAGTTAAAGGAACTTTCCATAAATAAACTTTTCCTAAATAAATAAAAATTTAGTAGATATACCCCCCAAGAACAGCATGCAATATGTCTGCCTCTTGAGTTTAGGTTCATGGAACTAGGAAGTAACAGGCACTGGCTGATGGACAGCTGGGAGGGGTGTAACTTGGTTCATTTCTAAAAGTGCTGATGTTGATTCAAATTGACACTTTTGAAAAATGAAAAAAAAAGGACACACTCTTTACACATAAAGCATTTACGAATGCTGAAGTGCTTTACTGTATTCTGAATGTTCCTTTAACTCCTTTTGTAAAAAGGAATTTAGAAAAACAAACTTTTTGGGGATATATTTGTGTTTTGGAAAGCACTTTCTCAATTTATTTTTCATATCAGTATTCTTATGTTGCACATACATTAATGATGTATAAATTATATCTTTACAAAAATATCTACCTAAACATAATATTGACGTTCATATCCATCACTAGACTTGTGCATGTCGAAAAAAGTTTTTTCAACAGAACCACTTTGAAAATAAAAACATTTTGGGACAGCCAAATTTTGGCCATATGGTTGTTCGACTGATCCAGATTTCATTAACGCAAAAGATGTAGACAATTCAAAAGGGTGCAAAAATGGGCCAATCAGTGTACTGCAATATATACACACATATATATATATACACATACACACACATTATAAGTATTATGTATAGTGTATATATTATGTATACACTGATACATTTTACCTCGATTTGTTTTATGGATCAAGTGAGAAAAAGTATCCAAAATAGCAAAAAAAAAAGGAAAAGCGGTAAAAAACCCTATTGGGGTTATACACTCAATACCATATTTTTTTCAGAATAAGCAAAGTCCGGTGAAAACGATGAATATTGAATTGGCAAATATAATTTACTAAAGCCAAATTGTCATATTTACTAAAGGCAAATACGGTCAGGAATTGCTCCATCTGACTGATTCTGTAAAATGGTTCACTGAGTTCAGAGAATCTGTGATTTATGCATCCGAACCAATCTACAACACCGGAATCTGAGATTTATGAACGACCGTATGGCAGTTATTGACAAACTGAATGCATCCGGCAGGATGCTCATTCGCAAATTATCATTCACTTGCTACTTGCAAATTAATTGAGAATCTGAAAAACTATTTGCCCAAATAGTTAAAATCCCTCTGTATTTGTTAAACAACCAAAACATTAAAAAAGTAAAAAATAAATAACTAAAAATCCTTTGGGGGTCATTAAGACCCCCATATTACTGCAATTGAGGTTTTGTACCACCATATGCCCCCCAATGTCTACCAAACATTTAAACTAGCGACTGTCTGGCCATCTCTGCCCAGTTGCTAGTAATGGCCCCATCCCTTGGGGATAGGGCCTGTGAAATAACAGGGAAGATATGGTCCCCCCCCATGCTCCCACCTCACTGCCAAGGGATTTGAATTTTTTTTTTTTTTAATCCTGGCTTGGAGTTGAATTTTCTGAGCCTTGTTTTGCCTCATTTGGCCCATCTGAAATTCGAGGCCCTTTTAGGCCCTTAATTACAAAATCCAGACATGTATATTTATATATTATATATTTAATATGTAAATAAATAAATGTAGATTTTTTCTTCTGCTCCACATGTTAATATTATTATTATTATTTTATTTTTTATATAGCACCAGCAAATTCCATAGCGCTCTACTTTTCAACTGATCTGTGTAAAAAATCTGCATTTAGTGACAGGTCCTCATTCGTCTTTTCCCCATTAATCATCTCTTTTTTTGGCACCATAGGTAGAATTCCGAGTTCTGAGTTAAAACGAATATCCTTGTCCATTGCCCTATTAATCTAGTTTGTGATTCGGCTACTGTCACACTTGAGGGTTATGGAACCCAGAATGCAGTACTTGAAAAAGGTTCATAAACGACAGCCAAGGGTCAGGTAAATCCAGGAGAACAGGTAACAAACAGCAAGGTAGCAGGGTAGGTTAGCACAGAACAACTGAGCAGTGAAGACTCAGCTGTGCTGTGTTTAAATAGGGGACAAATGGGAGAAAACACCTGTAGAGTATAGTCTCCTTAACACTCCATTGGTGTAAGGAGCTGTCAGTCACAGGTTGCTATGGAGCTCGTTATAAACTTTTAATGAAGTCCAAGCCGTCTCTACAGGTGAGTATCAACATGGGATGATCGCGCAGGCCTCCTAAGCGGCTACCGTCGCCTAATAGACGTGACGCGATCAAAGTTCGTAGTTCGCGTCCCGCCCTGAGTATTCGCGCATGCACGCGTCCAGGCTGCCCGGGCGAAACATCGCTGCTGGAGCAGCGATGGGATATAGGTAAGGCGTGACAGCTACATTTTAGCTTGGAGATAGGGAATTTGTACAAATACATGAAAGATCCAAATACAGACAAATTGCATGCAATGATTCTCTATGGCACAACCATAGGCACATTGCTGGGAGTGCCGCGCATGGGCCCATGTTCCCCAGTGCTCCTCTATGAGAAGCACTGGATTGGACCATCATCTTGGAAGCACACCCAGAATGAGGAAGCCGTAGGAACGCTGAATGAGACTTGACGCTGGAGAGAAGGTGAGTAAATTATAATTTTTTCTTTATTTTCATTTTTTTTTCGTTTTGCAGGTGCACAGAGGGAGAGGCACTCAAACTAACAAAGGGGATTAAGACTAAAGCATTAGAAATGCAGATATGTGTTACTAATGCTACAGTGTGTCTTTAAATCTATTCCAAGGACCCCACTATGTTCCGGAAGAATTTCCTTGTTTGAGTAAATCGTTGAATTTCTACTTTATTGGAATAAAACCTTTTAAGACCTGTGAGTGCTTTCTTTTTTAACGTTTTACTTGCACTGCACAGATGGTGACATTATCCATGCAATCATTGAAAAAAAATGTAATTTTTTTTTTGCCGTCAGGCCACAACAGCCATACCGGATTAACGATTGACAGAGGATAACACATAGCTGGTAGACATATATTCATAGTATAGTTACATCCTTTGATTTCTGCTAATCCTTCACATTTTTTATGTGTTGTTGAGGTCAAGCTATATAAACATGTTTAAAATCCAACTAAAGCCACTAGTATATTGCTAACATTTGTAGGCTTGCCTGGCATGATTGACAGGGTGCGTACCCCTGGCCTGTGATAGTGCACACTGCTTGATACTTAGTGGGGATGAAAAATAATATTCTTAGCAATAACAGCAAAATCATAATAATAACAGAAAGGTCATAATAAGACAGTCGGTTAAAGTGTAGGGAGACACCACCAACCATCAGTTGATTGGTGTCAGGATCAACACAGGGATTTAATACGCAGAATACAAAAATAGAAAAATGTATACCGGCCTTAGAATGGCCAGACTAATGTTGGAAAGAACAGAGAATAACCAGGGACAAGCCGAGGTCAAGGGAGTCAGAAAATAGGTAAGCGAATAAACGAGGCGAGTCAAAGGGAAGGAGAACACATAATGGTCAAAATCAGAGCCAAGTCAAATTCCTAGATACCAAACCAGAGTAAGCACTATAGGAGCAGACAATGTAGAACCACGACAGGGCAATGATTCATTACCAGTTAAAGGTTGGCTCTTCAAGTGATGACCACGCCCCCAAAACATCCTAATTCGAAAGTTTTGGCGGGCCGTGACATCATCGACATCCATCAACGCGCCTGCGCAGCGTCATAAAAAGGGGCGGGGCTACCGTGGCTGGTGTTTGAAAGGCTGAGACGAGAGGAGGAAATGGAAGGAGTCATCCCATCATGTGGGCGAAGACCCACAGGCTGGATTCCTGCCAGGGCAGTAACCACAGGTTCCCTGACAATTGGCTGGTGCGAGATTATCGGTCGTGTGTTCTACATCTGTCTCATCTAGAATGTTGTAATCTATTCTAAGGCCTCTCCTAGTTGGGGTTCGTCTGAGGAGATTTTTAGGGTAGAGTTGCATGATGCCAACGGGTCCGCACCAAGTTTGTGGGTGAGTCGTGGTGCGTGTATGAGTTGTGACTCAGGTCAGTGCGAGTGTTTGCCACCCCAGAGTTGCCTGTGGACCAGCTTGTGATTCGGCCAAATATGATGGAGGGGGGGGCGGTGGGAGTATAAACTTGTGAGAGCCTATGGGGCTCCCGCGAACGCTGAGAGCCCGTGTTATAGCACAGAAGCCTCCTAATGAAGGGTCCCTATGCCTAACTATGCTGTGCCCAGTGTGAGGAGATTTAAAGCTTATGGTGAAAGTTTAGCTAACAATAAGGTGTAACATGGAAAAGGAAACAAAGTAACACAGTGAATGCTTGCGTTGGTAGACAGTTCACGTCGATGGCCCTCATCTCTCCCAGGGACAAAGCGTGTTGTTCTCTCTGGATCCCAGGAGTGTGACGTCGAGGGAGTTGCCTGCAGTTTGGCCTGTGTGGGTATCCCCAGCACATGCCGGTTCGGCCTCTTGCAGCGAGGAGAAAATAAGTGTGGTTCCCTCTTTGGTCACCCTTAGGGATCTTGGCAATGTCCATTTGTAGTTGAGGTTAGCATTGCGCAGTTGGCTGGTTACTTGGCTCAAGGACCTACGCCATGTTCCCGTGTCAAGTTAAAAGGTTAGTTGGGATGATTCGAAGACAAGTGGGGTCTTTCCTCGGACTGCAGTGAGAAACCTTATTTTGTCTGTTGCAGAGTGGCACCTTATGATGATATCCTGAGAAGCAGTGGGTGGTGCTTGTATAGGGTTTTGGAATCGAAAGAAGCCTTCCAGCATCATTTTTTTCACTTGAGCTTGTGGTAGGAGTGTAGCTGTGAGGCGTCTGAGATAGTGGCAGTTCGGTAGAGTCAATATTGTCAGGGATACCAGTAATTGTTATGTTAGTCCACCTATTGCGGTCCTCTGCCACATCTACTCTTGTAGTGAGGGTGGACTGGGAGGCTTGCAGTTTGTGGACATGTTCCTGTAGCCCTTGTACCTTCTGTTGCAGATCCAGAATATCCTTCTCAGAGGCCTGCGTGCGTGCGGTCACCGCCTGTATTTCAGTCTTGAGCAAGTCAAGATCTGCGGCATGCATTTGTCTCATCTCCTGGAGCAGGTCAGTGATGTCTTGTTTAGTGGCTGGGGTGTGCTTGTCTCGGCTTGCTGATGTCCCTGTGGTTGGTTGTGCGGCGGAGGACTCCGGCAGATCTACGGATTGCTCTTCTGCGTTTTGTGAGGCCGCCATCTTGGGTGCCATTGGTCGCTGTAACAGGGCACCTATGTCTTGTGTGTCCCTGCTGGTGCTCGAGGGAAGCCTCTGGGACCTTCTTTCCCTATTGTGAGCATCTGGTGCGGTGGACTGTTCAGCAGTTGGGTGGCAACTTGTGTTCTTTGCACCATTATCTCTGGAGCGAGCTTTGTGGTGTGAAACTTGATGTAGGTCCCAGTTCTCTGTTGGGTCTTCTTACCCGTTTGTGGGATCAGAAAAGGCATCAGCCTGTTGCTTGTCCTTGAGGGGTGCCCAGGTAGGTAGCTGGTCCTTTCGATGGCACTGTGGGGCCGCAGATTGGCATAGATTATTTGCTGATTGTCAGGAGCCATGCAGGATTGCGGCCATTCGGGTCAAGTGCTCAACTCCGCCCCTCTCCGTGCTATAATTATGAGAAATAATGGATCAATTTTCAATCTGTGGGTTCTAATCCCACGAAAACACGTAGACATGTCCCGGTCTGCCTTGGATTAGTTACATTTACACTCCAGAGTGGCATTGCACTGTAACTCTAATTTTAGGTATACACCCTATTCCAAATTATTATGCAAATGATATTTTTCTCATTTACCTAAATAATTGGTGTAAATAACAGTCAGCATAATTCTCATGTTAACAACTATTAAGAGTACAATTCAAATGTTATTGAACAAACCTCCTAATGATGGCAGTATTTTTTTTAAACATAAAAAACTTACAATGCACTGATCCAAATAATAACACACAATAAGTTTCAAAACACTTAATAGGTTGTAAAGAATTGAAAATTGTCATTTGTTATTTTTGCAGCATATTTAATGAAATCAAAAGCTATTTCAATTAAACTTATAACAACATTTTAACTTTGTAAACATTTTAAAAGGTCACGTTACATTTTAACATAGGACCTCTTATTTGATAGCAGCTTCACAAGTCTTGCATCCATTGAACTTGGAGTTTTTGGACAGTTTCTGCTTGAATTTGTTTGCAAGATGTCAGAATAGCCTCCCAGAGCTGCTGTTTGGGTGTAAACTGCCTCCCACCCTCATAGATCTTTTGCTTGAGGATGCTCCAAAGGTTCTCAATAGGATTGAGGTCGGGGAGGATGGAGGCCACACCCTGATTTTCTCTCCATTTATCCCCTGTAGCAGGGAAGAAAGTGGTCAGTCAGAAACACCACATACTTTGCAGAGGTCATCTGCACCCTAAAGGGGCCGACCAGCTCTTTCCCCATGATTACGGCCGAAAACATGACTCCACCACCGCCTTGCTGACATCGCAGTCTTGTTGGAACAGGGTGGCCGTCCACCAACCATCCACTACTCCATCCATCTGGACCATCCAGGGTTGCACGGCCCTCATCAGTGAACAGGACTGTTTGAAAATTAGCCTTCATGTATTTTTCTGCCCAATGCAGCCGTTTCTGCTTGTGAGCATTGGTTAGTGGTGGCCGAATAGAAGGTTTATGCACAGTTGCAAGACTTTGGAGGACTCTACACCTTGATGTCCGTGGGACTCCAGAGGCACCATCAGCTTCAAATATCTGTTTGCTGCTATATAATGGTATTTTAGCAGCTGCTCTCTTGATCCGATGCATGGATCTGGCAGAAATCTTCCTCAATGTGCCTTTATCTGCACAAACCCATCTGTACTCTGAATCAGCCACAAATCTCTTAATAGTGATAATCACGCTTAAGTTTTCGTGAAATATCTAATGTTTTCATACCTCGTCCAAGGCATTGAACTTTTTCACTCTTTTCATCAGCAGAGAGATCCTTTTTCTTCCACATATTGCATGAAAATGGTGCTCTGCTTAATAATGTGGAACACCCTCCTTTAGTAGTTTTTCCTTAAATTGGGCTCACCTGGCAATGTAATTATCACAGGTGTCCGAGATTGTTTTCAGTGATCAAAAGATCCCTGAGACACGATGCCATCCATGAGTTAAACTGAAAAACAAAATATTTCATCTTTGTGACACGTAAATAGAATTTGCATAATAATTTGGAACAGGGTGTATGTATATCCCAGTGCTGCCCTTATTACAAAGTCCTTCCCTTAAATTCAACACTACACTAACACACAGTAAACAGTAACTCTACACAATCCTAACATTGTACACGTCTCATTAACCCCATACAGTACATTAATCCAACCACTACACTACACAGTAACTACATTACAATAACACTAAACATTAAAACCTACAATACCTTAACACTAATCATTAACCAATAACACATACATGAATATTAACCTTACTAAAAAATATCATGTAATATACGTTCTTGTAGTTAATTATGATGCCTCCAAAACCCAGAGATTATTTTCCCATAACACATATTTCATTTCTACGTATTCTGTGTCCTTGTCTTATTGTTACGTATCCTTGTCGTTTGTGTTTTGCCCACTTGTCATATTATGCCAAATATATTTCCACAATATCACGTCATACTCCCCCCCCCACGATCATTCATATGTTGTAATATAGCCGTCCATAAATTGGCATATTGTCTACTTTTGTTGTGAAATACAAACAGGAAACAGTCAAAATGTAACATACACATAGAAATTCACATACACAACAAGACAAATTGGAGGAAAGAGAGCTGTAGAACTTGAAAGATTTCCATGAGCTCTATAGAAACTGGAAGGCCCACATTTAAGTCTCTCTGTGGTCTATTCACAAATGCTGAATTGGCTTTTGTGGTTTTGGTTGATTGCATTTGGCACGATTTTCCTGCACGTGACTGTTAAAATTCCTAATCCCTAAGAGCAGAATGATAATCAAACAGATCCTATTTTAAAATGCATCTTATTGATACAGTTAGATTTATTTCAAGGTAGCTCAATTTGAATTGCAACTGTAGTGCAGCAGAAAATTTACTGAAGCACCCTTCTGAAGAGGCCACTAACGTCAGGACGGACATGGGATTTATAGATGGGGTATCCTTAGAATGTTAGGGTGACATGAGATTAGGGAGGTTAAAACTTGGTGGTATTCCCCTGGTCAGATGAATTGGAATCGCGGAATGATGTCAGTCTAGTTAATATTCAGCTGATGTTCTATAGAGAGCTGGCTTATTTCAATTGACAATATAAATGCAGCCCGATGGAAAGGCAAAGTTTATAGAAATAACCAAATTTGCCTTTTGTGAATAGTCGATGGGTTAGAATAGTCAAATTGTGACTACCAAAAAGCATTTGGCTTCTTTGGTTACCTTTATTGTTTAATGAAAAGATGCTGTTGTGTTTGGTAATCATGTTACTGGCTGATTTTAATTCTGTTCTTTATGGTGAAGCTATCGCAGGTGCTGAGCTGCCCATCTGTATTATGTTCATATTTCACGATTAATTATTTGAGTTTCCAATGGTTTGAGCCCTGTATACAATGCGTATGATTTGTGAGGATTGGGTGTAATATCTTTAAAATCTGTGCAAAGCATTTATTTGAAGTGAGGGGACTAACAGAGTTGTAGAATGTTAGTGAAGAAATATGCAAGTCAACATTGAAGCAAAAGTAGTACAACGATGTCACAGACATTAGTTTATATTAATCTGTTGCGTAGAGTATTGAATGAGAAAGAGAAACAATGCTTAGAAACCAATTTAAAATGAAAAGAAAAACGACATAATGAATGTATTCAAATAAAGTGTACCTGCAATTCAATCCGACACCCCCTTGGGCATAACCATAAGTCCTGAACCTGAGTCCATAGCCACTCGGGCCAAAGGGCAGAGTGCATTAGCCCGCAGAACTCCCTGCAGGTAAATTAATGGATCTATTTTTTAAACACCATATTGTATCCAGATAGACAAAATTTGTTGAAAATGGCCACATTCCATCTGAATTGGAAGGGCCAGATCGATAGGCATTTGGGCCTTGTGCTGACAATTATGATAGGCCAAATCACAGAATCTTATCACCAAACAAACACTAAAGAAGCCATACCTGTTATCATTTTATTGCTGTGTTTATTATATTGAATGTGTGCATGTCTCTTTAAGAGAGACACTCACGTTCTGCTATAAATATGTGTACCGTCAGTGCCTCTGTGCGCTGTAAACTGTGTGCCTACTTCCTCAATGCTGTACTTTCAGTTTGCGGGTTTGTTATCTTTAGGCTTCAACGCCAAATCCACAAATGGCCCTAATTAATCCAACTTAGAATATATCCCTTCTCTGAGTGAACGGCTTTCAACCTACTTTTTTTTTAACTTTGGCTGTTCTCTTCTTCAACCCTCTAAACATTCCATTGCATGTCTAGGACATTTACTAACATATCAGATTTACAGCGCCCTCTTGCGTCCGAAAGACAATGGAAACTCTTCAAAGTTCACAATCATTTGAATCACATAAACAACGTGTTAACCTTATTGCACAATCTATACATGAACTTCATTTAGGGCAAAATGAATTACAAAATCAAGCTGATTCCGTAACAGCATCTGGCTCTCAGACTGCGTTTGAACCAAACGTTTCCTAGACTAACAAATTTTCCAGAGACAAATTTATTCAGAACATTTTTGCATGAATGCAAATTAATGTTTCCTTTAAAATCTTGTACTTACTCTAATGACGATATTAAAATAAAAACTATTATTTGACTTCTACAAGGAGATACTGCAAAGTGGTCTTTCCAACTATTGGAACCTGAACATCCGTGTTTATCTAACCTTAAAGGGACACTATAGTCACCAGAACAACTACAGCTTATTGCATTTGTTCTGGTGAGTAGAATAATTACCTTCAAGCTTTTTGCTGTAAACACCGTCTTAGCAGAGAAAATGCAGTGTTTACATTACAGCCTAGTGATAACTTCACTGACCACTCCTCAGATGTCTGTTAGAGAGCCTTCCTGGGTCATTGCTGCCTAAAATGCATCCAAACATTCAGAATCTCCTTTACTCATAGAGATTAATTGATTAAATTTATCTCTATGTGGAGATGCTGATTGGCCAGGGCTGTGTTTGAATCATGCTGGCTCTGCCCCTGAT